AAACATAACACACAGGAGGAGGCAAAGTCTCTGTTCATGCTTCTCATCAGGGCCAGTTCGTCTGTCTTATTCCTGAGTGATCGTACATTGGAAAGGAAGATCCCAGGAAGAGCAGTTCGCAGTCCACGTCTCCTCAGACGCACGAGTGCGCCGGCTCGCTTACCTCTCTTTCGGCGTCTCAATTTCCTGATCAGAGTCTGCAGTAAATCTGCCGCGGATGCGACAAATATTGGAAGTAAATCCACAGGTGTTGTAGTCCTGTGGTTAAGAAGCTCTTCTCTGGTGTAAGAATATCCAGAGGAGTGCCCAGACACAGAAGTTATGCACAAAAACAAGACAGAAGTAACGCACTGAAGCACCAGGGCATCCATACGCGGCGCCATCTTGGATTGGCGCCGCCCTAAATATCAGATAGCTATTTAGGAACAGCTCTGGATAAAAAAAAAATATGGGGTGTAACATTGTCCAGCATCACGAGCATAAACTCTTTTCCCAGATTTCAGAAATATCTAAATTAGACCCTCTGAGGTCATTACTGTTGGCAATCAGGGTTAGTGTTAGGAGTAATGTTTTAGGTCCTCTTTATGCAAAATAATAGAAATATCTCAAAGATTCACAAACTATGATGAGCCAATGTATTTGACTCCCAGCTTTTACAATGCAACCATTTTAAATGTGATGAATTTTAAATATATTTATTCAAATGCTGTCACACATTAGTCAGTGTATTGCAGAAATTACTAAAAAGAACATTTTAACCTATTTTGGCTGGAAAAACCCCACTGCAGCAGCTTCACACTAGGAGATGAGGTAAAATCAAACCTCTTTCTCTGATTCTCTCTTAACCCAAAACAGATACACACACACAGTCGCTCCCTCGCCCTCACATTGGCAAACCTATTAATTTTAATATGATTGGGAATTTCCCCTAAAAAACTCCAGGGACCTTTGCAGCCAGACCAGGCTAAGAACAAGATATGAAACTTCAACTAGTTTCAACACTCCAGGCACTTCAACATCAACACTGCTGTCATTGCTCATAAGGCTTGACGTATCTAACTAAAGCACCATCCCATCTTTTTCCAAATCAGGATCAAACGCAATCAAGTTGTCCTCCTCCCCAACCCCCATCAAACCCTCCCTTTTTAAATTGTATTTCAAGTGAATTAAATTACTGTCAAAATAAGAGGGAAACACTGATGAAACATTAGGTAATACCTGGCAGAATATGTAAGAGACATGATTATTTTTCAGCCTCACCAGACACTTTGAAAAAGCCTCCAAATGAGAAACATTACAGTACTTTTCATTAATTTTAATGCAAAATAAGGTGAACAGTGGACTGACAACTAAATAAAGCACTTGAAATCCCAAACAGAAAGAGATATCCTGCACTGAGAAACCTAACACGGGTATAAAAATTCACTCGCTAACAAATGAGACAAAGCTGGGCACCCGTGTAAAAGAATTAGGAGAGTTGTTAGTTTCAGCCTCTTTCCTTCACCTTTTGATGGCCTACAAATGTGAGCTTGTGAGTGCAACTTTTATACGCTTCTCATTGCAATAAGTATATTTTCACAAGTCTTTAAGTTACAAAAATCTCTCCTACTAAAGTATATTTACAGATATTTATGTTTAGGACAGGAAACAATAGTATTTAGGTTGGTTCTCATTGTGAGACACAACTATCTTCCTGCAGTGCTACTACAGTTGATGTCACACATGAATCATTTTATGTCACTCTTTAAAAAACAGCTAGTCCCACCAGGAATTGATGGTCTGAAAATCCCGAGATCAAAATGGGAGACGCCCCCTGAGCTAAGATCCTGTGGGACTTCCAGACACAGACTGGTGATGGGTAACAACTGGACATAGTGGACAAGCAGAGGGAGACAGCTGTAGTGATAGACGTAGTGGTACCGAATGACAGCAACATGAGGAAGAAGGAACACAAGAAGTTGGAGAAGTACCAAGGGCTCAGAGAAGAGCTCGAGAAGATGTGGATGGGTGAAGGTAACAGTGACCCCAGTGGTAATCGGAACCCTCAGTGCAGTGACCCCCAAGCTAGGTGAGTGACTCCAGCAGATTCAGGAACAACATCCGAGATCTCTCTCTCTCGAAGAGCTCAGTCCTAGGAACAGCAAAGATACTGCGCAGGACCCGCATGCTCTCTTTGAAAGAAACTAATTTCTGACACTCGTATCTGGTGTTATTCAGTCATTCACTAGCCCCAGCATATGGCCCTATAGGTTAGAATGGGAATATTGATTACATTAAATCCACATTTTCACCTTTATGGTTATCCGTTCTGCTCACTTAAAACCAAATTTGTTTTCACAGTTCTTCTGCTCAAAATAAGCAAAGACATTTAATTTATATGTTATTTATGAAAACCTGTTGAGTTATACATTAGTAATGAACCATTTCCATTGATTCTAATATCGAGAAGCCCGAGGGCCTCCTGAACGACTAAGGGTAGAACATAGATGAGATTGCTTCTCTCTCTCTGAACACGAGACCAATACATAGTCAGTGTCTACAGGACTGCAGACAGTGTGCCAATCACCCTATTAATCTCACACTTCACTGTACCCTCACTCATGAACAAGACCCTAACATACTTGAACTCCTCCACTTCACAGACACTCATTGGCATTCACACCCTTTTTTTTTAACTGAGAATCATCAACATTTATCCTAAAAGATTTGCATATGACTGTTCTTGCTGCCATCAGTTTCAGATGTCACTGAAAAGAATGGGGAAGGGGGCATTTTTTTCATTTGTTTTAAAGTCACTGCACATGGACATTTCAGAAAGCCACAGTGTGCTCTGTGTACAGAGTTGCCTCTAAATGCACCAGGCTTATGAAAGATTTTCCTGCAGAAAATCCAATATTAGTTTTGTAATAGACTGCATGCATGTTCACACTTAGGCACCCCTGAGAGAAAGTGGAAATACTTGAACAGAAAAAGCTACATGTCATGCTTGCAAAGTGTGAGATGGCAGACATGGATCAATTATCAATGCATCTATCCTAAAATTCCTGATATCCCTGGTGTGTACCTGCCCATGCCATAGCAAACTGATACAATAGTAACATTGTAAACCACACAACTTGAAAAACAATTTAAGAAATTTTTGAGGTGCTAAAGATATATTTAGACTAGGTGGGCCTAAGGCAAAAACTGCAGTTTTGTATTGCACAGTATACCAGAAACATAAGGATGTGCTTTGCAGCTTGGGTTAGCTTCAACACTATACTGCAACTGCACAGACTTCCATCTGATTTCATATGGTGACTTGTCTGTCTACAGCATATAGAACTGGTATAGTTTTTGAAGGTTTGGTGATAAAACCAAAGAATCTGATTATTTATATCACATTTCAATCTCTCCAACAACACTGTCAGTATTGTTATTCAATGTCATCCTTTAGTGCTACGGAAGGCCAGGGTCAAATTCAGTTCATTTTCAGGATTCATCATCTGAAACCTTTGTCTGCTGTAAAGTTTGTGCAAATCAAGAATAGAAGAGTCACTATTCAAAATATACTTCTGTTTAAAGTATACTTCTGTAGAAGGAACAAGTATTATTACTATTGCTACTAGTATTATATAAGGTTAAAAGCAGTGATGGGAATAACAGTGTTACAAGTAACGGCGTTACTAACGGCGTTGCTTTTTTCAGTAACGAGTAATCTAACTAATTACTATTCCTATCGTTACAACGCCGTTACAGTTACTAACAACAAAATGCAGTGTTGTCACATTACTATTTTTCAACAAACAGACGGTTGAAGCTGTGTTTAGCTTATCACACCTTATATCAGTTGCACGGAAGTAGCTGTCTATGTAAGTAATCTGCGCGCTACAGCTTTAAGCAGCTGCGCACGCTCCCACGGACGGCAATCACTTTCTGGCAGACAACCACTTTTTGGCACAACAATCACATGAGTGCTGCTGTTTGACTGAAGAAGAATAAAGTAGTCACGGTAAGCCTATCATATGACCACTTCAAGATTACAAAGCAACAAGGTGATATATACCAGTTTTTAAATTGTGTTGATAGGCCACTTAAAACCAGAGTCATGATAAACAATATATATGAGGCGTTTTTTCCTCAATAGTTTCATCACGTTTAACGACTAAGGACAGCGCTAACAAGCACTCTCTGCTTATGACCAAAAAAACAAAAACAAAAAACAGCCTTTCGTGTTGGTGGATAACTGTACCATGTCGACCAATCAAAAAATGATATGGCAACATGACATTTGGTTGTTTAGGAAGAGGGGGGAGTTTTAGGAGTGACGATGAGATAGAGAGAGAACGAGTCTTGAGATGTGAGAGATTTGTGATGTTTAGTGTGTTTGGAGTGTGTAGTTAATGTGTTGTCTTGTGTAGTTAGTGTGTGTTGTTGTGGATAGTTTTGTGTTGTGTGTAGGGATGGGTATTGATAAGATTTTCAAAATTCCGATTCCATTTTCGATTCTGTTTAACGATTCGATTCTTTATCGATTCTCTTATTGATTCTTTTTAAAAAAGGAGAATACTTAGGTCAAATAGCTTAGAACTTTGTTTTATATCTTCTCTTTGAACAAGGTAGAAATTTAGGAGTAACATGGCCTTACAAACCCAACAGTGAGATCTTAAGAGATCCAGCCTACGGCTCTTCAATTGGTTTTCCCGGGGTCCCCGGGAAAAAAATTGTAAATGTAAAATAATAAAATAAATATTCTTCTGTAGCAATAACAAAGTTTAACATAAATTATTCTGTAGCAATTACACAAGAATATCCAGTAATGTCCTGCCTACAATTAAACACATTCACTTACCAAAGTGAAATCGGGGGCATCTGCTGTGGCAAATGGGTGCAAGCCTTTGACCACAAACTTAGACACTGCTGGGTGACATTCGTCTATCCTGGCCTGAAAGGAGACGCTACCAGTAGACTGCAGCGAGAACTGCCAGCGAGCGCCAGCCAGACTTGGTCTCTCATCATGGTCACCTAAATGCACAGTAATAGCAGGTTTTGTAATAAGGCAGATCACGCTAACATAATATGCACTGTTTAGTTGATTATTTACCTGCCTCATTAACGGGAGAGGACGTGCAAACGTTACCGCTGCTGCTGGGTTAAGATTCACAAGCCCGGAGCGGAATTAAAAATACGGCATTCATTTAAGGTCATCGCGTCGGTCAGTTACTAACTCAGTTACTTTTTTGAAGAAGTAACTATAATTAATTACCTTTTAAAAGTAACTTGCCCAACACTAGTTAAAACTAAACAGAGTTTGGTAAATTATATACAGTAAATTACAGAGTTACAAGATTTAAATTTACAGCGACATTTCTTAAACAACAGTCTTATTTCCTGTGTCTCAGTGTTTAATTAACAAAAAGACCACAAGAGAAAACA